CCGCCATACTTCCAGATGTTGCACCGCGCCGGCGGACCCCCCACGCGTCCCAGTTCGATCACGCGCAGAAATCGTGATCAGCTTGTCCTGTAGTCCTGTTCCTAGATTTAGCGTTCCGCTCCAGAGCCAGGCAGCCAGACTGGCGGTCGCCCTGACAACGGGAGGGCGGTCAGGATCGCATCAGTGGCTCGGCTTGACGCTTCGTGCTCCATACTGCTGCTTGTTTACATTATCTGTGTCTCTGTGAGTACGGACTTGTTCACACGTTGTCGCCTGGTAATCCGGGTTACGCAGTATTTAAAAAAGGACAGGTCACTAAAATATGGACATACGGCGTGTCACTGCATAGGTATCATTCATAGGGAAGTTGACACTTCAGTATCTCGGTTTAATCGGACCATCCATAGTTTAATTCTCACTTAGTCAATCTCTTCGACTTCATATCCGGCTCTAATCAGCCGCCGGGCTACAGATGGCCTAACGTACAGGCACCTCTCCCGTGACTGTGTTCCAGGCCTGAGTGACACGAACTTCTTTTGACGCGGTATCTGTCCAATCCAGTGACTTTCGTGTTACTCCGGCTCAGACCCTGAACTCGTGCCAGCCGGCCCCAGCCGCCGGCTTGTTTGTTCGACCCAACGCTCGCGTCAACATAGTCGAGGGTGGCGACATCCATATTACCCGGGCCCAGATGGATCAACCGCCATTTTTTGCGCCATTCGGCTCAAAAGCCAACCTCGTGTCGTTCTGGTCCAGTGTGCCGGCTTCATGTTAACAGGCTTGTACGCCACCCTCGTGTCAACCGGGTCCCATGTGCTAGCTTCGTGTTATTCGGCTCAGAGTCAAACGTCATCCTCGTGTCAGCCCGGTCCAGCACTGCGCAGGCTTCGTGTTCTTAGTATTCGGCTCAAACGCCAGCCTCGTGCCACCCCGGTCCAGTGTGCCGGCCTCGTCTTTCTTACTCAAACGCCAACCGCGTGTCAGCCCGGCCCGGAGTGCCGGTGTCGCGTTCTTCGGCTCAAACGCCAACTACGTGTCAGCCCGGTCCTGCGTGCCGGCTTCGTGTTCTTCGGCTCCAACGCCACCTGCGTGTCAGCCCGGTCCTGCGTGCCGGCTTCGTGTTCTTCGGCTCCAACGCCAACCGCGTGTCAGCCCGGTCCTACGTGCCGGCTTCGTGTCTTCGGCTCCAACGCCATCTGCGTGTCAGCCCGGTTAGCCGGCTTCGTCTTATCTCGGATCGGCTTAACCGCCACACTCGTGTCAACTTTGGCCCCATCGCCAACCTGTGTCGTCTCGTCAAACTCGTGTCTTCTCGGCGCAACCGTCAAACTCGTGTCTTCTCGGCTCAACCGCCAAAACTCGTGTCCTCTCGGCGAAACCGTCAAACTCGTGTCATCTCGGCGCAATCGTCAAACTCGTGTCTTCTCGGCTCAACCGCCAAATCTCGTGTCCTCTCGGCGACACCGTCAATCTCGTGTCCTCTCGGCTCAACCGCCAAACTCGTGTCATCTCGGCTCCACCGCCAAACTCGTGTCATCTCGGCTCAACCATCAAGCAACCTTGTGTCATCTCGGCTCAACTGCCAAACTCGTGTCTTCTCGGCTTAACCGCCAAAACTCGTGTCATCTCGGCTCAATAGCCAAAACTCGTGTCATCTCGGCTCAACCGCCAAACTCGTGTCATCTCGGCTCAACCGTCAAGCAACCTCGTGTAATCTCGGCTCAACCGTCAAACCCGTGTCTTCTCGGCTCAACCGCCAAAACTCGTGTCATCTCGGCTCAATAGCCAAACTCGTGTCATCTCGGCTCAACCGCCAACCTCGTGTCTTCTCGGCTCAACCGCCAAACTCGTGTCATCTCGGCTCAACAGCCAAAACTCGTGTCATCTCGGCTCAACCGCCCACCTCGTGTCATCTAGGCTCAACCGCCAGCCTCGTGTCATCTAGGCTCAACCGCCCACCTCGTGTCATCTCGGCTCAACCGCCAGCCTCGTCTCATCTCGGTTCGACCGCCAAACTCGTGTCATCTCGGCTCAACCGCCAAAACTCGTGTCATCTCGGCTCCTCCGCCAACCTCGGGTCATATCCGCTCAACCGCCGAAACTCGTGTCATCTCGGCTCAACCGCCAAGCTCAACCGCCAAAACTCGTGTCATCTCGGCTCAACAGCCAAAACTCGTGTCATCTCGGCTCAACCTCCTACCTCGTGTTCTCTAGGCTCAACCGCCAGCCTCGTATCATCTCGGTTCAACCGCCAAACTCGTGTCATCTCAGCTCAACCTCCCAAACTCGTGTCATCTCGGGCATTTTCGGCTCGACCGCCAAACTCGCGAATCCCGGCTCGACCGCCAACCTTGTGTCGTCTCAGCTCAGCTGCCGTCTTAGTATCGTCTCGGCTCGAACGCCAAACTTGTTTCATCTCGGCTCACCTGCCAAACTCGCGTCATCTCGGCTCAACCGCCAAACCCGGGTCATCTCGGAACCTCTTGTATGTCATCTCGGCTCACTAGACCTTGCCTCGTCTCGGATCCCCCCCCCC